AGCCTGGAGCTCCTTGGGAAGGTTCTTGCTAGCTGCTGGTGCATGGCCCGGCTGTGGTACCGCTGCTGGTGGGTGCAAAGCACCGAACCTTGCCCCGGCAGAGGCAGGCTGGTGGCTCAGTCTCCTCCCATGTCACATGAACCGTCAGGCTGGTGCCTGCTGTGCCTTGCTGGGGTAAAAAGCGTTTCTTGGCCGCCAGCTGTGCAAGCAGCAAAGCCCAGAGGTGGACCACGGCCGGCCCAGCACGGTGGCAGTGCCTGGGGGACAATGCCTGGTCACGATCTGCAAAGGGAGGACGAGACAACCAGTAGGTCTTCGGGAGTGGTCGCTGCAGGCACTACAGCTGCTTAAAATGCACCTGTAATGGGCATATAATAGTGTATAATTGAAGTAATACCTGTATGATTAGCTTCCCCTTGGAGAGATCCCAAAACATCACTGCTCCAAGGCTCTGCCTCCCTCCTCCAAAACCGGCAGGGTGACTGTGTGACATTGCTTGTGGCTTTTGCCCGGTTCTTTCTGTGCTCGACCCATGCCTGCATCCAACAAGAAACCAGAGGCTGCCCTGGGCTCGGAGTCAGTGTGTCCCCAGGGCGTGTGGGCTGGGCACCATGCGGGGAGCAGCACCCCGACATCCCCGTGCAGGGGGACATTGCCCTGGGATCCAAGGCCCTTCCAAAGCAGCTGCTCTTACCTGCACTGTGCAGCGGTGCTGCCTGCACGCTGTTTCCCAACAGCAGTGGCTTCAGGCCAGTATTTCGGCATGCCCCGGTGCCCACAGGCTTTTATCGCACCGATAATCAGTGGCAATTGCAGCAGGGAGGCGGTGAGGGCTCGGACAGGCAGCATCGGGGAGATGCCTCCTGGAGAAAGGGAGGTGAAACCTCTGGTGGCTCCTGGTTCACGGTGAGGACCAAGCCCAACGTTTCCTCCATCCCTGGAGGAAATCCCATCTGCCATCAGGACGCGAACACCGGAGGCTGATCTGGCAGCTCTGCTGAGCCAAGGCCACGTGGTGCGGCCATGACCGAACCGAGACCTTGCTCTGGAGCTGACGCTGCGGGAAGGCAGCGCAGAAAGCGGAGATTAGGAGGGATGCGATTGATGGCAGAACAGGGCGGCCTTGTGCAGGGTCGGCCAACACCTGGGTGCTCGGGGCCACTGCTACGCACAGCTCTTTGCTTGCGAGCCAGAGCTTGTGCAACACCACATCTCGACTGATAAAGCGGGTGGGACTTGGCCTGAGGTTCGCTCTCTCTCCTGTCCTCGTTCCCTCGGCCTCGGTGGGAGCAGCCCCGAGCCTTGGCCAAGCAGCAACCAGGGAAAGGGCCACCAAAGTTGGGACTGGTGGGACAGGGGTGCAGGTCCCCTGGGAGAGGGTCGGATGCGATGGTATCGGGCAGGGCTGCCAGCAGCGGGGACTGTCAGAAAGCGTCAGAGCCCAACAGCTGCAAGAAAGGCTCTGCAGAAGGCTGGTATTTTGGGTGAGACAGCTCAAAGCACCTTCAGCGCACCCGCTCCTGGCCAGGTACACCACGACTTCAGAAATGAGGCATAAGGGAAACTTTTTGTGCATTGCATGGGATGTCACCAAACCCGGGGGTCCTGAGCGTGCTGCGGGGCTGGATGTGGAGATGCTCAGCCCCAGAAGATGAACGAGCAGGGGCGGCCTTTCCCCTGTCCTATTCCTGCTCTTTTCCTTTGCTCCTTCCCTGCCTCTCGCTCTGGTTTCCCACCAAGACCTTTTCTGACACTGGTTCTTTCCACACAGGGTTCCCCTGGGATTTCAGGAGTGATGCTTGGCAGCTGGGAGCTCTGCTGGGGGTTACTGCCGGGCCGTGGCAGCTTG